ATTCCCAGTTATTCCCAGTTATCCACAGCCATTCCTGCAATTCCCAGTTATTCCCAGTTATCCAAAGCCATTCCTGCAGGAATTCCCAGTTATTCACAGTTATCCACAGCCATTCCTGTAGGAATTCCCAGTTACCCACAGCCATTCCCAGTTATCCACAGCCATTCCTGTAGGAATTCCCAGTTACCTACAGCCATTCCCAGTTATCCACAGCCATTCTTGCAGGAATTCCCAGTTATTCCCAGTTATCCACAGCCATTCCTGCAGGAATTCCCAGTTATTCCCAGTTACCCACAGCCATTCCTGCAGGAATTCCCAGTTATCCAAAGCCATTCCTGCAGGAATTCCCAGTTACCCACAGACATTCCTGCAGGAATTCCCAGTTATTCCCAGTTATACAGAGCCATTCCTGCAGGAATTCCCAGTTACCCACAGCCATTCCCAGTTATCCACAGCCATTCCTGCAGGAATTCCCAGTTACCCACAGCCATTCCTGCAGGAATTCCCAGTTATTCCCAGTTATACAGAGCCATTCCTGCAGGAATTCCCAGTTATACAGAGCCATTCCTGCAGGAATTCCCAGTTATACAGAGCCATTCCTGCAGGAATTCCCAGTTACCCACAGCCATTCCCAGTTATCCACAGCCATTCCTGCCAGGTATTCCCAGTTAATTAATGATTAATATTATCAATATTTCATTAATAATTTAATTTATTCTATTTTATTTCTAAATGTAACTTTATATTTTATTATTAATTTAATTTCAGGAAATTAATTGCTATTTCATTTTCATTATTAATTTAATTTTATGTTTTGCTATTAATTTATTATTTCCATTTTATTATAAATTTACTTATAGGAAATGATTTATTTATAGATTATTCTTAATTTAATTTAATATTTTCTTATTTTACATTAAATTGTTATCTATATTTATATTTCTGTATAATTTAGTTTTAGGTATTTAATTATTATTAATACTTTATTACTAACTTGTTTGAATATTGTATTACAATATAATATTTTATTATTTTACATTTCTATTTTATCATTAATCCATTTTTGTAAATTAACCAATACTCATATTTTAACATCAATTTAATTTTATATTTTGTATTAATTCAATATTTATAATTTTTTTCCTGTTACTATTAATTTAATATAATAAACTAATGAATGATTCCCTATTTAATTACTAATTATTCAACAAACATTCTTGGGGAATTCTTTGGGAATTCCTGGGGAATTCCTGATCCCAGCTCACCCTTTTGCCTCCCTCCCACCAGGGTTTTACTGCGGATCCCTTTGCACACGTCCAGGATGGTGGAGCCCACGTAGGCGATCTCGGGGCCGAAGCGGAAACTCTGGGAAAATCAGCAGGCAAAACATGAAGGAATTCTTGGAATCTATATGATTCCATCTATATGGAATTATGGCATTCCCAGCAATCTTCCCGAGAAGTTTTTTCTCATGGAAAAAGCATCAAAATTTCTCCAAAATACTCCCAGAACTCCTGGTTGTTCTTAAGAATTTCTGGAGAACTTTTCCCTTGGAATAAGCATCAAGATCCCTCCAAAGTATTCCTAGAAATCCTGGTCATTCTTAAAGTCCTGGGCAATTTTTTTCCATGAAAAAAGCATCAGATTTTCTCCAAAACACTCCCAGAAAATCGTGGTCATGGGCTGGGACACCTCCCACTGTCCCAGGCTGCTCCAACCTTTCCTTGGACATTCCAGGGATCCAGGGACAGCCAGAGCTGCTCTGGCAATCCCAGCCCAGCCAGGAATTCCTTCCCAAAATCCCACCCCAAGCTCCCTTTCCCAGGGAATTCCCTCCATTCCCAGCTCTCCCAGCCTGGCATTGGATCCATCCCCACCCCGACTCTGCTCCAGGAAGGAATTTTGGGATCCGGGAGTTTCACTGGGAATCTCAGCACTCCAGGAAGGGTCTCCCTTCCCTTTTCCATCCCCA